GAAGAGGTTTCCATAGTAAGCACTAAGAGGAGAATCCCCTCATTCTAGCAGGTGGGAGGGGGAACAAGCCATTTTATCATATGCTGTAATGCTCTGTTGTTAATAGGCATATCTTCAGGAGAAACTGAACAGGATCCTAACTTGCTTGGGTATAGTGACAGATAGCTGGCGAAGGGAAGAGGAAAGGCCTAACACTCCTACTTACTCTGTCACCCTGCAAGGACTAAAACCTAAGTAAGTCTAAGTGCATAGGCACGGAGACCACAAAACCCGAGACACAAGCGAAGGTCTGTGGGGTCTTCCACCTTGCCTTCTTCTTACCACGTTGTTAGAAATCTGTTCTCAGCAGTTCTTTTTTCACAATACACCATGTTCAGCTATCAAGAAAAAAAAAATTACAAGGCATGCCAGAAGGCAAAATAAGCCATGTGAAGAAAAAGAGCAAGCATCGCAATCAGATGTGGCAGGCATGTTGGAATTGCCAGGCTGGGGATTTAAACCAGCTAGGAAAGACATGCCAAGGGTCTTAATGGATCAAGTAGGGAACATGCAGAAACAGATGAGCAGTGTAAACAGAGAGATGGAAATCCTAAAAATGAACCAGAAAGAAACGATAGGGATCAAAACCCCTGCACCAGAAATGAAGAATGACTTTGATGGGTTTATTAGTAACAGGGCATGACTGGGAAGAGAAGCCCTGGGTTTAAAGATATCTCAGCAGAAATCTCCAGAACTTAAAAAACAAAGAGAATAAAAGATGTATGAGGAAAAAAATATGACAGGCTATCCAAGGACAACTATGAAAGGTATAAATACATGTTATAGGGATACCAGAAGGAGGGTAAAGAAAGAAGGGAAGAAATGTTTGAAACAATAATGATTCAGATTTCCCCTGCAATTAATGTCAGACATTAATTAAAACAGAACCCAAATGTCCAGAGAGCATCCAGCAAGACAATGTTAACAGCCACATTTTTCAAGCTACAGAAAAATCAATGAAGAAGAAAACAATTCTGGCAGAAGACAAAGTACAATAATGTCCCTCCTACAGAGGACCAAAGATGAACGTTTTATCTGACTTATTCTCAGTAACCAGGAAGGAAAGAAGAGGGCACAGCAAAATATTTAAATGTACAAAAGTACACCTGTAATTCTGTACCTAACACTCTTGCCAGCCTAACAGTCTGAAAGGAACAGGCATCATAGAACATGTGCTCTCGGGTCACAGTGGAAACCAACTTGAAGTTGAAGCTGGAAAAAATCGCCATCATGTGACATGTACAGAGATTTGTAAATAATATGGGTCAAAGAAGAACTCCTGAAAGAGATTTTCAAACATGCTGGCCTTCGTGAAAGCACAACACAGCAAAACTCAACAACAAGAAAGTAAACAACTTGATTAAAAAAAAAAACATGAGCCAAAGACCTCAATGGATGCTCACCGAAGTGCATATATTAATAACAGATGTATAAAAAGATACTTCACATCTCACACCATTAGGGACACACAAATTTAAGAAGAGATGCCACTGTCCATGCAACACCAACACCAGCCACCAGTGCCTAGGATGCGGAGTGATGGGCACTATCCTACATTTCCATGACATTGCAAAAGCACTACAGATACTCTGGAAGACAGTTGGGTGGGTCCTAATGAAAACAAACACACTCTTACCATATGTTTAACCAGTGTGTTCCTGGGTATTGAGCTCAAAGAGTTGAAATGTTATACTCCCAAAGAACTTGTCTCCAGATAATTGGAGAAGTGTTGCTCAGAACTGTTCAAACCTGGAAGCCCCAAAGATGTCTTTCAGTAGGGTTGATTGATAAATTAATCATAGACTACCCAGATAATGGAATATAATCTCACACTACAAAGAAGTGAGCTACCCAGCCATAAAAAGATGGAGGAATACCCACCCCTCCAGAGGCTTAAAGGCCCATTACTGAATAAAAAGAACCCATCTAAAAGGCTATGTATTACTGCAACTCTGTGACATTTTTGAAAGTGCAGAAGTAATGGAAATGGTGAGAAGATCTGGAGTTGGGGGGTCAGAGAGTTACACAGGCAGAACACAGGATTTAGGGGAAATGCAAATACTCTATATATAAGGCCATAATGAGGCTGTGTATGATGTCATATTTATCTGGACTTGTGGATATATGAGGAAGACGAAGCCCAATGTCAGCCATGAACATCGAGTGATTATGATATGCCACGGCAGGTCCAGCCAGGGGTGCCACCCTGATGGAGAATGTTGGCTGTGCTGGATCCCAGACCTGCGTGAAGGCAGGTGTGTACGGAGCCCATGTAGCTTCTTCTACGAGCTCAAAGCTGTACACATCTTGCTATTTTGTGAGCACACAAATGTGAAGACTTCTTTTCGTCAAATTTTTAATGGACTCTGGCTTTACAACTTTGTCACCCACATTTTCCATTTGTTCTTGACCCTTTGCTTTTTCAAGTTGAAGCCTCTTTGAATCATCCCCGTGGAAGGCCAGAAAAATAAAGGAAGCAAGCTGGGATTGCAAGAGAAGTGAGTTTTAAAGGATATCTGTATGTAAAGGGTGTCTTCTAAATAAAATGCATGTTGCTTTTAAAAACTCATCTTGTGAAGTCAATTGATCACACCATGGAGGTGGGTTGCTCTTTATGGATGCATGGGTATGGTGCTGGTGATTGCACCCAGGACTCTGAACATGGCAGGCCAGTCCTCTGCAACAGCCACATCCCCAGCCAAGAGAGGAGGATCTTAAATTAGTATAACTCAGGCTGGAGAGATGGCTCAGACGTTAAGAGCACTGGCAGTACTTACAGAGGCCCTGAGTTCAATTCCCAGCAACCACATGGTGGCTCACAACCATCAACCATGAGATCTGGTGCCCTCTTCTGGCGTTCAGGCATACATGCAGACAAAACACTGTATACATAATAAATAGATAAAAATAAATAAATTAGTGTAATTCTAAGAGGAAGGCTGGAACAAGCTGACCTCAGATGGCTTAGCCACTAGACTTCTGTCACATTGGCCATGGAAGTCTTACAGTTGCCTCTCGCTATACTTTCTGAAGGAACAAACTCCTGTAGGCCCAATGACAACCAGCTTCCCGCACTTTGTCTGGAACTAAAAGAAAAAAAGAAATCCATTGTGCTGTCTCAAACGGCTGTGAAGATGGGGAGCCGATTATGAGGCGAGTATTCTGCAGTGCCTTCACATGTGTGGTCTTCGCTCACCACGTCTTGGCAAAGTGAGCACTAATCCTGTTTTCCAGATGCGAAAACCAAAGCTCAATAATGCTCCCAACTATTCAATAATGGAGTATACCTCAAACCAAGACTAATGTGATGTCACAGTTTATTTCTTTTAGTTTTTAAGATTGGAATATAATTATATCATTTCCCCTTACCTTTTCTCCCCCAAACCTTCCCATATACCCCTCCTGACTTTTTTCAAGTTCATGGCTTCTTTTTTTATTAATTGCTGTTGTACACACATACACACACACTCACATATACACACACCTAAATTAAACACAACCTTCTCAATATATAATTGTATATATTATATAATATATTAACCCTTTGCTTTTTCAATGTTACATTACGTACAAGTAACATATTATACATTATATATTATTATACTATATAATATATTACATATTGTACATACATACAAGTAACATCATACACTATATACCATACATTATATATTATTATAATATATGTTATATATACATACAAGTAACATTATACATTATATCAATATATAATATATGTATAATAATATATAATGTATAATGTTACCTGCACATATTATATATAATGTATGATGTTATTTGTATGTGTTATATGATATATATATTATCATATATAATGTATAATGTTACTTGTATGTATGTTTTCAGGGCTGACCATTGGTATTGGATATAAGCAGCTGGTGTCCTTTTCTGTGGACACCACTTTCTCCCACTGTTAGCATTCCTTAGTTGCCTGTAGTTCTTTGTATTGACTGAAGCCTCCTGGGCTTCCCCCTCCCTCGTCTATATGAGCATCTACTGTCATTCTGCAGCTCAGGTTTAGGTCATATGGACACTTTATAGATGTAGCTCCTGACATCCCGAGGAGACACGGTCTCATGGCAAACTCCTTCTGACAAATCTTGCTACCTCCTCTTCTGCAATGTTCCTTGAACCTTAGTTGTGGAGTGTCTTGCTTGGAGCTTCTTTATCCTTGATTGATTTCAAACTCACTCTGTAGCCAAGGATGACATTGGACTTTTTGATCCTCTTGCCTGTGCCTCCTGAGTGCTAAGACTATAGGTACGCACCACCACATCTCATTTGTGTGGTCCTGAAGATTGACCCTGGTGCCTTCCGCATGCAGGACAAGCCCTCTCCTGATCAAGGACAACCTCAGCTCCCAGGGCCACCCTCTTGACTTGGAGTTACTGGGGACTTTTACAAACCCTTCTTGATCCTGAAGTGGTACAGTACTGATGCTCGTATGGAATGCAGAACCACAGCTGGATACTGGACTGGAGGAGGAGCAAAAGATGCTGAGTGTGTTCAGAGAATCCGGAGGGGAGGAGAAGGAAGCGAGTTGCCTAACGGTACTGAGTGAGGGTTGAGAGCAGCTGGAGAAGTCTGCAAAGGCCCCAGATGAGCTGTTTCCTCCCACCACACACAGGAGGGTCGTGGGGAGGAACACTTTGACTTCTCACACGCAAGGGCCCCAGTGCAGCCCACAGACTCTTTAATAGCTTGAACTAAATGTACAGACTCCTTTCCCAGCCTTCTCCACCTGGGCATTACGTTCATTTCCCTGCAGTTTTGAACATGTCATTTGGTTTTAATTTGTGTAACTATGTGAATCTCATGGGTTTTGGATTAGGCAAGAAGCTTCCTTGCAATTAAGTCCATGATACACCTCAAAACTAAAAACAAAAAAGTCTTAAGCCAAAGGAGCACCGCCGCCTCTGCCGCCGCGACGGTCCGGGCCGTGGTCGCCCAGGGACTTTGAATATGTCGGGGATTGCCCTCAGCCGACTTGCCCAGGAAAGGAAAGCCTGGAGGAAGGACCACCCTTTTGGCTTTGTGGCTGTCCCAACAAAGAACCCTGATGGCACGATGAACCTGATGAATTGGGAGTGCGCTATCCCTGGAAAGAAGGGGACTCCATGGGAAGGAGGCTTGTTCAAACTGCGGATGCTTTTCAAAGATGACTATCCGTCCTCACCACCAAAATGTAAATTTGAGCCACCACTGTTTCACCCAAACGTGTATCCTTCTGGCACAGTGTGCCTGTCCATCCTGGAGGAAGACAAGGACTGGAGGCCAGCTATCACGATCAAACAGATCTTATTAGGAATACAAGAACTTCTTAATGAACCAAATATCCAAGACCCAGCTCAAGCAGAGGCCTACACAATTTACTGCCAAAACAGAGTGGAATATGAGAAAAGGGTTCGAGCACAAGCGAAGAAGTTTGCCCCCTCATAAGCAGCGGCCCTGTGGCTCCATGACGAGGAAGGGATTGGCTTGGCAAGAACTTGTTTACACCTTTTGCAGATCTAAGTCGCTGCGTACAGTTACTAGTCTCCTGGGAGGGTTGAGCGGGCGCCATTTTCCATTTCCGCCACTGGCATATACAGTCTCAATTCGCTGAATTGCCCCAGTTTTTCATACAGGGTCTCTTCCTTCAGTCTTTTGTATTTTTGATTGTTATGTAAAACTTGCTTTTATTTTAATATTGATGTCAGTATTTCAACTGCTGTAAAATGATAAACTTTTGTACTTGGTAAGCCCCTAGGAGCTAGTTTCTTCGTGCTCGGATGCAGACATGCTTCCCACTGTTCAGAGCTCTGGCCTCCAGCTGGCTGTATGACAGAACCACACTGTCCCTCCCTCCCCACTCTCAACCTCCTCAGAAACCTGGGCTGTTACTTATGAGCCTCAGATCCAAAGTTGGCCAGCGTCTCCATTCTGCACCACTTCCTTTGTGTTTATATGGCGTTTTGTCTGTGTTGCTGTTTAGAGTAAATAAACTGTTTATATATATATATATATATATATATATATATATATATATATATATATATAAAGTCTTAAGCCCACCTTATGCTGCCTAAAAAGAAAATTCTATGTATTTCCCCCCTCCATTTTATGATTTCTCTTTGAAAGAAGAAAGATAAAGACATTTTTCTTTTCTTTAAATTTCAATCTTAACTTTCTTTTGTGGTAGAAGGGAGAGACTTCTGCACACAGGATGGAATGGTAAAAGATGCATGGTTGCAAGGGACACGGGTGACTTATTTTGTGTGCTTATGACACAAACTGGTGAAGAGACTATTTCTTGTGTGTGATAAACTTTATAGAGAAATCATAAGTGTGTGTGTGTGTGTAGACAGAGCCTTTTAAGAGATCCCTTTCTGAAAGCCCTCCTTAATATCCATCCTGCCTCCCAGAGATTGCTGGCTACACACCACAGTGAGAACCTGAGCTCTCAGCTCCTGTACGCTGATGACTACCCGGTCTCCTGGAGGAGGGAAGGCAGAGAACTCTGCAGAAGAAAATAGCTTTTCCTTCTGGCTAAGAGATGAGAAGAGTCACCCCGTCACATCAAAGGTGCCATGCTCGTCCGCCAGCAGTGGGGCCATGGCCATCCATCTGCAGTGTCACCAGCTCGGCAGCCCAGCCAGCCACATCTGGAAAAGTTGAGTGAGCTGCAGAGTTGACACACATTAAGGAATGTGTCCAGCGTAACATGCTGACACCAGGCTCACACAGTTTTCCCTATCCTATGTGCATCAAGCCCAGGGGGTTGTTTGGAAGTTAACACTTTGAGGGTTAGCAAGACAATGAAGAGACTCTAGCTAGCAGAAAAAAAAAAAAAAAGAAAGAAACACGTGACAGGTTCAGCAGGTTTAATAATACCTGTAAAAAGGAAACAGGTCCTGGAGAAACCAAGAAGAGCCAGGTGTGTGCACCCCAAGAGAAGAGGAGCTTCAGGCTCTCTTTCAGGTCCTCGCCTATTTTGCTTTCATCAGAAACCTGGAAGTATAAGCATGTGCAGTCTTAATGGCCACACACTTGCCCTGGGGAGATGGCAGGAACTTCCTGACTGTCCCAATGGTTCCAGTTTCAACACCTCAACTCCTAACAGGCCCTTCAAATCAGAAGCCACATATCCTCATGTTTCCTGTGTGTTTGTATTTGCAGCTTCGAGGGTCTTGAGCAAGGTGCTGTACAGGAGACACATCAAAGCAAATGCCTCATGTTGTAATTGGGCATAAGTTACGACTGCCTGGTTCAGGTGAAGAAGTAGGAAGATTCTTTCTTCCCTTAAGGCATCTCAGTAGAGAAGAGTCTCTCACACTAACTCCTTCTCCAATGGCCACTTTTTGTTTCAAGACAGGGTTTCTCTGTAGCTTTGGATCCTGTCCTGGAACTAGCTCTTGTAGACCAGGTTGGCCTTGAACTCAAAGAGATCCACATACCTCTGCCTCCCAAGGGGTGGAATTAAAGGCACGTGCCACCACCACCTGGCCCCCAGTGTCACACTTACTATCCCTACTTAGATGTGGCTTTCTATAAAAAATGTGATTTCTTTCTAAAATTTCATTGCTGGTGTGTGTGTGTGGGGGGGGGGTTGTGCATGCGCGCGCGTGTGGTATGTGTAGGGAAGGAGCACCTGTACCATGACATTAGTGTGGAGGCCAAAGGACAATTCTTCCACATCTATATGGGTTCTGGGACTGAACTCTGGTTGTCAGATGTTTATGGTAGGTGCCCTTACCCATCAGACCATCGCACCAGCCCTAAAATACTGAGTTTAAAAACTCTCCCTTCTCTGAGAACTCCAGAGGTTCAAGTATTGTTCTCATGGGAAATAAAAGGAGGTAACGGTGGCAGGGGTGAGAATTCATTCCTTGCCTCCCAGAAGAGATGAGCCTGCAGGACTAGCTGGATGTGACACTCAGCTTTTGTAAGCAGGGCCTGCATACACCCTTGCTCCCGCTCTGAGTTCCCCAATTGCTTCCTTGCAGCTCTGTTTCCTTTCCTGAAACCTTGCCATGGCCCACCTGGTGCCATGGGGAAGGTTAGGCAGCTTTTCGCAAGAGGTTCAAGGAGGGGGTGCAGCTCACACAAGGAGGGGGTTGCAGTTCACACAAGGTGGCCAGTGAGGTAACATCCTTCCTTTACCTCACACATGGAGTGATTATTTTCTTTCTTTTAAAGAACGGGGTTTCGTGTATCCCAGGCTGTCCTTGGACTCACTATGTAGCCTAAAATGATGCTGAACTTCTGATCTTTCAATATTTCAATATGTTTTTACATCAATATGTTTGACCAACCAGCTGTGTGTGTGTGTGTGTGTGTGTGTGCGTGCGTGCGTGTGTGTGTGCGTGCGTGTGTGTGTGTGTGTGTGTGTGTGTGCATGTGTGTGTGTGTGTGTGTGTGTGTGTGTGTGGAGTGTAGTACCCCAGGGCTACACTGTGGGGACAGACATGGCTGAGTTCCTGGAGGTCTGGGCTTCATTTCAAACGTCCATTTGTACATCAATCAGTTTAAATGATCTCACTCAAAGATGGCTTCTCAATAGAAGCAAGGTTGGCGTCTCTAGAGCACGGGGCCGCCAGCCTGACCCAGGACCTACTGACCTCTGAAAGATCACTAGAGATCAAGAGTGGTCCGTCTTACCTCAAACCAAGTACCTTCCGACTGTTGCTCCCATCCTCTGAGTGACTACAAGTCTTATTTGTCATTTTGCTGTTCCTGCTGGATGCTGTAGAGATGGTCCTCCTGGCTCAGTTCCGGGTTCAGGTCAGTCCGCCTGGGTTAATAGTTGTCTCCGCCTCTTTCTCTATAACCCAGAGCAACTTGAAAAGAAAACAAAGGGAAGCACACAGGTGGTCGGGGTTTGTGTGTGATGAAATGGCTAATTGGGTAAAGAGCTTGCAGCACAAGCCTGAAAGATCTGAGTTTGATTCTGGGAAACCACATAAAGGTGTTAGAGACCTGACTCCACGGAGTTATCCTCTGGCCTTTACACTGTTCACCATGGTGTGTGGGCACCCCACCCCCACCCCGGCAACAGCAACACAGAACAAAACCAAACATCATGCCTTTTATGTCACACAGCGCAGAAGATGAAGCAAGAGCTATCTCAGCGCTCAGACAGCGCTTGCCGCCATTGTCTGAGGACCCATCCAGAACCCTTACACCATGGCTGGCGTTGGCTTCTAAACAGAACAAAGGAATCCAATCTCAGAATGGGAAAGCACCACGTTCTTGGCTTAAACTAGTGAGTTCCCATTGTGTTAAACCAAGGTGTTCAGGACAGACCTGACCCTCAGCAGAGCGAGCCCACCACAGCGCCTGGACGATCTATGACTGGAAGGAGGACGTCAGCAATGCTCCGCTTCCCTTTGCAGGGCAGGGGAGCCCACGGCACCATCTCCCCAGCAGCAGGCATCTGCACCCTTCAGGTCTGTTGTACTTGGCTCAGCTGAAACCCACACTTCCAATTTTCACACTATCTGTAAACGTTTAATTCGAAAGGCTTTCCTATTTAATATCAAACAAGTGAGAAAAAAATTTCATCAGCTCATTAGTGCTGCGCCAGACTTCCATCGGGGATGTGGCAGCAACTGGAGTTCAGCTGTGCGGAGGCCTCGGTAGGATTTCTCAAATGGCTGAGCAGAGAGCAATACATCAGCCTACTGAAATCTCACATGCCATTTGGTTTAAATATTAAAGTTCCTTTGAGGTTAAGTATTAGAACCAGAAGGAAGGCAGGTTTGCAGCCTGTCAGCCTGGTCTCCACATGCTGCCTTTGTCACAGACATACCTCTTTTCAGCAAGAGGGGTCACTGCCAGCCTAAAATCCCTCCAACTCCCTTTACCACCGAGAACTAGGCTTCTACATGCTCACCGACTTTTGCCCCAGGCCTGCTCAACCCACAGTCTAGACTGACAGACCGCCTAATGGAATATAACAGCAGCCACAAGTGGGAGGCACACATCATTTTAAATGTTCTATAGGAGTTTTTTAAGTAAAAAGAAACAGGTGACATGCATTTTGATGAAGTATTTGAAGCCAATACATTCAAGATATCATCTCAGCAAGTTTTATCAATTCAAAAAAAGTCATCTTTTTTCTTCTCTTTCTTTCTTTTCTTCTTCTTCTTTTTTTTTTTTTTTTTTTTTTTTTTTTTTTTTTTTGGTACTAAATCTTTGCCATCAAATGTGCCTTACACACCTAAGACAGGGCCAGGGACCGTTTTCCAGTGTTCAACAGGTACCAACTAGCTGGACCCTGCTGGTGGTCTAGGCTCTAGGCTAGGATATTTCTGCACCTTGCATTCCATCTTACAGCTGAGGACCAGGACTGAAAACCCTGGCAGAAGTGGAGGAAGGGTCCCCAGAGGCTGCCTGTCATGGTGGGGAGGAGGACCAACACTGTGAAGCGGAATCTGTCACCGCAGTTCCTTTTGAAGTGCATTTGTTTGCAATAACTTCATAAACACGATTGCCTCTCTCCCTTTGTTTCCCAGTTCGGGGTGTGGGGGGAGTCGCTTCATCTCTGACGGGGGAGGGCAATATTTTCTCAGCTGCTAATCATGTTAATTGGGCAACAGATAGCTAGGAATGTGGGGTAAACAGCCCTAGTACCTTTCAGGCTTTTGATGGCTTTTCCAGGCGTACTGTAGATACTGTATCGGAGCGGGAGTCGCCCGCACCTCCT